GAACTTTCGAAATTAAAGTGCAAATAACCCTAAAATACAGGATTTTGTTCATATTTTATGTTAGCCTTTCACATATTCATATTTTCAATTTACGCCCAAAATTATTAGGTTTTGTAAATTATACCAATTGGAGCTGTAACTGTTACCATATTATATTATGATTAGGTCTTGGTGTCTCTTGGTGTGTGTCATTGAAATATGAAGATTTTGAGATATACTACAAAAATAAAGAAAGGATTTAATGTCCAACTACGAAATTCTATTTTTGAAGGATGTTATTTGCAACAAATTTAATAGGCTTGGGATCTAAATTGGAAATGTGGAGATTCAAAAGTCCAATATAAAATTAAGAAAAAGAATTTAGGGTTTAATATAATAAAAACCTAAGATATATATTACAATACTGTATTATTAGATAGTGACCGGTGAGGACTTTTTCTTTTTTGCAAAAATGCTCCAACCCCGAAGAATTTTCATCTATTTGTTGCCTCTCAAGTTAACCAGTCAGTACCCAAAAAAAAAACCCTGTTCTTTCAAATTCATGAGATTAAACTGTGTCTTTTATCTATTTACCCTCCTATTTTCGCACTGCTGTCGGCTTCTTGATAACAAAAATGACCAATTTATAATAAGTAACCGTCAATATTTTTACAAAATGCAAGCATGGATCTCATCACTTGGATTCAAAAGAAATTGTGGATGCAAGTATCTGTCAGAACATTCCCTATGGAATTGAAGAGTTTTGAAACATAAAGAGGAACAGATAGAATTTCTAAAACCTACTCCATCCTTCTTATTTCTTTGTGGGTGTTCTGATAGAATTTGTGCTAAAAATATTAAGATTACTGAGCTAAAACGGGTGGAAATTACCATTAGGAGCACCAAGTTAGGAATCTTATGATCTGGAGTTGAGCATGCATAAATTTGGGAGATTGTATTCTTTCACATTATTCCAAGACAAGAGAGGCGTTTAATTGGATACCAGGAGAGAATAATGCCTATATACATTGTACTATCCATCTAACTTTTGGATTATTAGCATAGTAATGCTTGAATCTCTTGTATTACACTGATTAAAGGTTCCACTTAAAAAAAACTGATTAAGGGTGAACTACTCTTTAACAAGAGGGGGGGGGCACAGGTCGGGTCCTAAGCACCAACCGAGTCCGTCGGTCCAAGCACATAGTAACAATATTGTCCCCAACTTAAACACCTTTGGACCACAGGTGTGGGGTTTTAACTTAAAGGGCCTCGTTACTATGTAGAGACAATCCCCCACTTATATACCCATGATGAGTTCTACAATTTTTTCATGTGGGATTAATGGTTTGGACCAACCATTCTCAACAATCTCCACCTTGGTTCAAACCAGTTCACCTTGGTTCCACCTTGAACTAACACCGATCCACCCGGCTCCACCTGGACCTATACCTTAGTCCACCATGAATCCACCTTTGAACTGTCCATGTAGATCACCACTCAACATTGTCTGCAAGATCATCCACCTTTGGTCAATGCACATCTCGAGGTACACCATATTTCACCTTACTCGAGGAACCTGCACAACCACCTTCTCCACCGAGTCTAGCTACTAGGACACTTTTTGTAGCGACTCATCACCTTAGGTTCTACTGAGTTCTTCCTGACTCCACTAAGTCCAACTACCGGTACTGCTTCACAAGTGCGTGGATTCACCATCAAGCTCTGATACCAATTGTTAGGGGGGGGGCACAGGTCGGGTCCTAAGCACCAACCGAGTCCGTCGGTCCAAGCACATAGTAACAATATTGTCCCCAACTTAAACACCTTTGGACCACAGGTATGGGGTTTTAACTTAAAGGGCCTCGTTACTATGTAGAGACAATCCCCCACTTATATACCTATCTTGAGTTCTACAATTTTTCCATGTGGGATTAATGGTTTGGACCAACCATTCTCAACAGTTGATACTTCCTCCGTAATTAAGGGTGAACTAGTTTATAATGCATCCAAAGAGATATAACCAATAGCAACCCTATAACGTGGCGAGCAAGTACCGACTAATTAAATTTGGGGGGACAGAGCGTTTGTTGCATTTGACGCATGCATGAAAAGCGAGAATCTCCACTTAATCTGCCCAAAATCATTGTCTCATTCTCCAGATTTAATCTAATGCGTCCACAGTGTAACGATCCCACGCTTTTGATTGAGCGTACGAATTTGATGTGCAATTTTGATTGAATTTGGATTTTTTTTCTCTCTAAAGAAACCTGTTTATTTGTCTCTCCGCTGATTTTTCTTACAGCGGAGAGAATCCGAATCAATTTTGACCGCCACGAACAACCATCCCAACAAAATCTTTATCCAATAGTTGGATTTGGCCTATGAATCCTTTTTATTTTTATTCTGCTGAAAGTTATATCTATCATAACCAAAGTGTTTCTTTTTGCAGTGTTTTTTAAAAAAACACCATACCATGGTGTTTATTTTTCAAACGTGTTTCCAAAACACCATTTATAGTTATTATTTATATAGCGACGACGGCGGCGCAGGCGGCAGCGGAGGGCGGCGACTGGCGACGACCGGACGACGACCGACGACAGGTGGCGGCGGCGTGGGTCGCGACATGCGACGAATGGCCAGCGCGCCGCCGACCAATGACCTGCCGGTCGACGAGCGGCGGGCGGACGACCACCGGAGTGAGTTGCGAGCTGTCGGCCGGGGTGGGCGGAGGCAGGCGGCGGGCGGCGAACGACCGACGGGCAGCGGCGTTGGCGGGCGGCGACGGCAGCGGCCTTAGATGAAAAAACGGGCAGTAGCGGCGACGGGTGGCGGACAGGCTGACGGGCAGCGCGGGCGGCGACGGCGGCGACGATGGCGGCGGGAGGCGGTGGCAGGCGGCGGCAACGGCGGGTGGTGGCGACGGGCGGCTGACAACCGACCGAGCAGCGGCGGGCGAGCGGGCGGCGGACGGGCGGTGGCTTAGATGAAAAAACATAATCTCAAAACATATTTTTAGTGTTTTAAGAAAAAACGTTTATTTTTTGGATTTTATAAAGGGTCAAGTCAAAAAATCGCCCCGGTTGCCAAACATGTTTCATTGTTTTTTTGAAAAAAAACGAAAACGGCAAAAACACTATAATTGGCAAACGCTCCCTAGTCACTATGTGTGTCTGAATTAGCCCATCACCAATTCTAATTGATCCATTAATTATTATCTTATAGTTTCTTCTGTTTAATGTATTTTGTGCCCTTCGTTACATATGGTTAAACCATCTCAAGAAATTCTCTAATGTTTTACTTTGGTAGGGGTGACATTTAACGTCCTACCAGCGCCCACGTTCTTGGCTTTTTCTTGATGTATATATCCACATATCTATCATAACATTGTCATTTCTGTTATAGTATTTGTCCCGCACACGTTTATTTTTTAATTGTTCATTGTTGTGATTGAAAATATTGGTTAATTTCACAAAATCCTCCTAAACTTTGGGTGTTCCTCACGGAATCCCCTATTTTTTGTTAATTCCATTGAATCCTTTAAACTTTGAGATGTATCTCAACTCTCCGAAGTTTTTAACTTTTCCCGACGGACCCCTCCCAAAGATGACAAATAACTAATATAGACTCGAAGAGGGCCAAAAAAAAAATAAAGAACAAGGAGGAGGTCTGTTGTCTATCAAGGTCCCGAAATAACGCTTAACACAAAAAATTGGGGATAATGATAGAAAAAGCTTAGCATTCAAGAAGCATTCTTCAATTTGGCAATACAAATAAGTTTTCTTTTTAAGGTGCTTTGCAATAAAAATAAATCATTTATGTAAGAGCATCTCGAAGGGGCCGGATAAAAAGGTGCTTTGCAATAAAAATAAATCATTTATGTAAGAGCATCTTGAAGGGGCCGGAAAAATCCGGCCCCTTAGCTAAATTAAGGGGGATTGTAGAGGAAGTTGCTCTAAGGAACCGAAAAACTTTCCCCTTCACCTCAAACCCCTTAACTCTCTCCCCAAATTAAGGAGAAGGTTAAAGTCCCTTAACCTTTCCCTTATAATTTTATGTTAATATTTTTTTAATGGAGTTAATGTATAGTTAATCAAATTTAGTTAATGTATAATTAATTCAAAATTAAATAATTGAGTTAATGTATAATTAATTCAATTTGATTAATATTTTTTTAAAACGTACCCCTTATAATTTTTTATTAATATTTTTTATTAATTACATGTTGTTTTTCTAGTATAGGGTGTTTTATTAATATTTTTTATTAATTATCTGTTAAATTTTAATATAATTAATTAATTTAATGATTATATAAGGTAATTTCTTAATTTAAATTAATTAAATTTATTTTTAATTATTAATATTTAATTATTTATTCATTTTAAATAAAACCACATATTTAATTAAATCCTAATCTATAAAATTAAAACACTAAATATAAATAATTAAGGGGTATGGATACTTTTAAGGGGGAACCATTGGACGAGAACATTCCGCTAGATTAAGGGAGATTATAGGGATCCCTTGGAGATGCTCTAACTAGCAGGAATTATAGATTCTACTCCATATAAATTACAGGCATTAATTAATGCTATTTATTACTTCATCACAAGTACTTTAGCAGCAGAAAGTACCAAATTGTGCCCCGGGCCTGTGGCATTTAATGCGCACAAAAAAGAGGTTAACAATCGGAGCATAACCGCATATATACTTTCTGGTTGTGTTTAGTAGAACTAATTATTATGTGAGTGGAACTTTTTCAATTACCGAGGCTGCCGAGTCCACAGCTTCACATGCACGCATGAGGCTCCGCGGCAACATGGTTGGCCTCCTGCTGTTATCACTATTAACTATTTGACGCTGCTGACGCCTCTGGTCCTAATTCATCACCCAACCCTCTAATGCCGACAACTGGAAATTGTGGGCAGCAGACAAGTGCAGTTCACGTGCTAATAGTAGCGCCATGGTTGTGGTCACCTCCTTCGTTGGACTGCGCGGTAACCGCTTAACCCCCGCCCCCCCCCGCCCCACTCTTTCTTTCTCTTTTTAAAGGGCCAGTCCGAGTTCTTGGATAACCGTTGCTGGCTGATTCTTCATTCGTTAACAAGGTACGGGTTCCTCATCTTATCTTTTCTTTAATTAATTTCTTCCTGAAAAACTGTGGTCAAGTTTCAATTTCTTGGTGTTGTTAGTTTTGTATTTTGTATCTGTAAATTCTGAAAATATTCGAAAGGGATAAAGGATAATGGTGGTGATGATAACTTATTAGCGGGAAAAAAAAAGGATTCCGTTGTCACCAAATTTTAGAAATAATTGCTGCACGGTGTTGTTGATTGTTAGCGTTTTAAAGAATGTGATTCCTTACTTAGAAAGTTGGGTTAGATTTGGGCGAAGGATTTCTGCAGGTCAGTGATAAGTTGGACTAGCCTGCTCTTTCTCTGGGTTTTGTTTGATTATTATTAGCTAGACCGAAAGAATCAGATCTGGACCATATTTTAATAATGCTGATCAATTGTCATGAATCAACTAATGCAATTTGACAGGTTTAATACAAATTTTAAGCTTCGAGGAACTCCCATTATCTGAAAAGAAAAAAAAAAAAAGCACAAAGAACATACCGTCTATTGTAGGGTTACAACTTCTCGCCCCACCTCCTAAGAATTTTTTCAGATTTTAATAAGAAAACCCCCTCGTTAACTTGCATATTCTCAGAACCCCCCCCGGCCCCCCCCGAAAAAATCTAAGGTTAAAGATGATTTCTGTAACCCAAAACTTAAAAGGTTTTTGATGTTTTGAAAATGTAGGGGGGGTCTTCATAATCATCCAAAGTAGTGTTTTGTGTGTGGAGGGTGGTATTATCAGCTTTTAGATAATTCGGATATCGATATCTGAAAACCTGTTTTTAGAGCCACTGTAATATTTGGCATGTGCAATATTCAATCATTAATTAAGTCGAAATAAGAAGTTTACTGTCTTTTTCCAGCATATGAAAGCAGTTACTAGTTTCTATTTCAGGGACTAAGTTGTCAACGTGCCCAGTTGGTAGCTTAGTTCTGAGGTACTTGTACTCAATTGCAAGTGTGTAATCTATGAGAATGTGAGAAACTGAGACGTAGTAAACAAGGATGCATGCTAATATCTTACTTGAACTAATAATATAAGATACATTACTTCCTCAATTTAAAATATCCCATTTCTCTTGGATTTTGATTCACAGAATAAGCAATGGCAATGGCTCCACATCAAAACCTCGCCCTGATGCTACTCCTGCTCTCACTCTACGCAACTGTCTCAAACTCCCAAAACGCATTTCCAACACAGCACGGGCTAATGTACGAGAAAAATCCTGCAGAATCGTCTGCACAAATGGTTGGATTCTTTGGTCAACCAAAGGTTGAGATGCCAGAGGCGCGCGATCCTCGCTTAAGTAGTTCTGCAGGAACAAGTGGTGGTGAAGCAGAAGCAGTTACAGATACAGACGTTGGTCACAGTGGTGGACATAGGAAGTCGGGTGTTGTAATTGCTGGGATTGTTTTTGCTGTCGTTGGTGTCGCCTTGGTTGCTACCGGGCTTGTTGCTTATGTAGTTAAAGCACGTAAGCCACAAGAATCTTCGAGTTCCGGTACTGGATTTGTCAGTTTGGCTCAATGGAGAACTTATCCAGAGGTTTTGTGAACGCAGATTTTATGGTATGTTCGCGTTGTCTGTAAACAGTTTCTGTGTGGTTTCCTACAGTAGCTTTCCTTTTGGCTCCGAGTTGCAAGTTAGGGAACATTTAATGTAAATTCGAGACTATGTATGACTCTGCATAATGCCATGTTTGGTATAAGCCCCTCAGTTGTTATCGTCTATGTTCATGTTTTTGCATGTAAACGATTCCAGTGTGCTCTGGTATAGTAGCTTGTTAAATTCTTTGAATTTGAGTTTCAAGTTAAGATTTTCGAAAACGAGGGTTCAGTGTTTTTTGTGTTGAATTAAAGCTGCTGAGGCAATCTGTTTTGAACTTCAATCTTAACAGTTCCTGTAACCATTAGGTCAAAACTTTAAAGTTGTGATGAATGTTGGGATTATATTTTTATATTCTAACACTTACTACCCTCTAAGTGAATTTTTTATTCTTAGAACCCTCAAAAGTAGAAATTTCCTTTTTGACAGAGAGATGCCCCGGAATAAAGTGTCAAAATAAATTCACATGGGGGAGTACTTGCAAAAATAAAACTAGAGGAGTGATTAAGTTCATAACGATGATACTTCAGGGGGTCTGTTGTCAATTAACCCTTCATTCTATAGGTTCAAGTGTGCCTGAATTTGTACAATACTATGCCTTTCAAATTCCGCACCTGAAACTTACTGTGCCAGTTTTTGACTGGAAAATGCACATGATTTTTCTATAAGTGAAATTTTGATCAGTTAGCATAAAATTTGTTATCCTGAAGCTGTGAATAAAAGGTAATTAGCAAATATGGGGAAATATTTGCAAATAGAATATATGTCAGGGGTATACAGTCAAACGAAACCCTAGCAATATATGTGCCTCGTCAGCTCAGCTTCTTTTCGCAGTCTCAGCTGGAAATGAGGAATCCTGCCGCGGTCATATTCTCTCTCAAAATCCAAGACCGTAGAGCCCATAGCGCTGGCCAAGCCCCCCCCCCCTCCCCCCCCCCTTCTTTCTCCTTTTAACAATTATCAAGAATTTACAAGATCTCCAACCAAATCGTCTCGAGAGCCGTGAGTCGCTCGATCTTTTCGATCACTTGCTCGATGCGAATCGCAGACCATAGATTTTCTCTTTCTGGTCTTGTTTGCTTCAATCCTTGGAACGATCAAGAATACCCACCATCAAAATCACTTCTTTATCATCTCGGAGTAATTTCGCCTGTTGACTTCATCATGAATCGCGTAGATATTGGTTTTCGGTTCTTTTGATGTCATAATTTTCAGATCTCCGATCGGCTG